CCCGCTGTCCCCAGGGCTGAAGCGGGGGCTGTGCCTGCGCATCAACCACTTCCCCGAGGACCTGGAGTACGACCACGACAGCGCCGAGTACCTGCTGCGTGAGTGACCGTGTCACCCGTGTCACCTGTGTCACCTGTGTCACCCGTGTCACCCGTGTCACCCGTGTCACCTGTGTCACGTCATCGTCACCACGACAGCGCCGAGTACCTGCTGCGTGAGTGACCGTGTCATTGTCACCTGTGTCACCTCAGTGTCACCTGTGTCACCTGTGTCACCTGTGTCACCTGTGTCACCATCACTGTCAGTGTCACCTCATCATCACCACGACAGCGCCGAGTACCTGCTGCGTGAGTGACCGTGTCACCCGTGTCACCTGTGTCACCCGTGTCACCCGTGTCACCTGTGTCACCTGTGTCACCCCTGTCACCTGTGTCACCCGTGTCACCTGTGTCACCCATGTCACCTGTGTCACCTGTGTCACCCGTGTCACCTGTGTCACCCGTGTCACCTGTGTCACCTGTGTCACCCGTGTCACCTGTGTCACCTGTGTCACCTGTGTCACCTCACTGTCACCCGTGTCACCTGTGTCACCTGTGTCACCTGTGTCACCCGTGTCACCCGTGTCACCTGTGTCACCTCACTGTCACCTGTGTCACCTGTGTCACCTCAGTGTCACCTGTGTCACCTGTGTCACCTGTGTCACCTGGGTCACCTCAGTGTCACCTGTGTCACCTCAGTGTCACCTGTGTCACCCGTGTCACCTCACTGTCACCTGTGTCACCTGTGTCACCATCACTGTCAGTGTCACCTCATGGTCACCACGACAGCGCTGAGTACCTGCTCCGTGAGTGACCAGTGTCACTGTCACCCGTGTCACCCGTGTCACCTGTGTCACCTCAGTGTCACCCGTGTCACCTGTGTCACCCGTGTCACCCGTGTCACCTGTGTCACCTGTGTCACCTCAGTGTCAATGTCACCTCATCATCACCATGACAGCGCCGAGTACCTGCTCCGTGAGTGACCAATGTCAGTGTCACCCGTGTCACCCGTGTCACCTGTGTCACCTCAGTGTCACCCGTGTCACCTGTGTCACCCGTGTCACCCGTGTCACCTCATCGTCACCACGACAGCACCGAGTACCTGCTCCGTGAGTGACCAATGTCACCCGTGTCACCTTTGTCACCCATGTCACCTGATTGTCATTATCACCTGTGTCACCCGTGTCACCTCATCGTCACCATGGTAACCGTGTCCCTGTCCCCACGGCGACCGTGCCGCCGCCGCCGCCGCCTTTGTCCCGTGTCACCGTGGGAACCAAACCCCGGCTTCTGTTGCCATGGCGACACTCCCGGCATCCTCCCGTCGCCATGGCGACGTTCTGGTACCCAGACACGCGTTGCCATGGCGACGCTCCCGGCATCCTCCCGTTGCCATGGCGACGTTCTGGTACCCAGCCTCACGTCGCCATGGCGACGCTCCCGGCATCTTTCCCGTTGCCATGGCGACCATCCTGGCGATGCCGCTGCCGTCGCCATGGCGACGCTTCCGGCATCCTCCCGTTGCCATGGCGACGCTCTGGTACCCAGCCTCGCGTTGCCATGGCAACCATCCTGGCTCCCTGATTGGCTCTCGGCTACCCGCACTCTGATTGGCTGGAGATAACAGATCCCTGTCCAATGGCGGGCTCTGATTGGTCAGCGATGCCTGCGCTCCCATTGGCTGGCGATAACAGACCCCTCCCCTTCCTTGCTGGTCTCTGATTGGTTGGAGATGACAGGGCCCCTTCCAGGGGGCATTC